CCGTGCCACAGCGTGCGGCAGTGTGCCATGCCATGCTGTGCTGTGCTGCAACGTGCTGCAGCATGCCATGCCATGCGATGCTGTGCCGCAGTGTGCCGCAGTGTGCCATGCCATGCCGTGCTGCATTGTGCTGTGCGATGCTCTGCTGTGCTCAGTGTGCTGTACCATGCCGTGCTGCACTGTGCCATGCTGCACTGTGCTGTGCCATGCTCTGCTGTGCTGCAGTGTGCTGCAGTGTGCTATGCCGTGCTGTGCTGCACTGTGCTGTGCCATGCTGCACTGTGCCATGCTGTGCCATGCTGTGCTGTGCTGCRGTGTGCTGCAGTGTGCTGTGCCATGCTGTGCCATGCTGCAGTGTGCTGCAGTGTGCTGTGCCATGCCCTGCTGTGCTGCAGTGTGCTATGCCATGCTGTGCTGCAGTGTGCTGTGCTGCAGTGTGCTGTGCTGTGCCATTCCGTGCCATGCTGTGCCATGCTGTGCTCTGCTGCGCTGTGTGGTACTTTGTGGCATCGTGCCGTGCTGCTGTGCTTCACTGTGCAGTGCTGAGCTGTGCCATGCTGTGCTGCACTGCGCTGCACCACGCTGCACTGCACCGTGCTGTGCCGCACTGTGCCATGCCGTGCCATGCTGCACTGTGCAATACCATGCCATGCTGAGCTGCGCCGTGCTGCAGCATGCTGTACTGTACAGTGTTGCACCATGCTGTCCTGTGCTGCACTGTGCCGTGCTGTCATGCACCGTGCTGTGCTGCACCGTGCTGTCCTGTGCTGCACTGTCACGCACTGTGCTGTCCTGTGCTGCACTGTGCTGCAGCAAGTTGCAGCCCGGCTCAGCCTGCCCGCCCGGCTGCGGGCTGGGCTGTGCACTGTGCAGCGCTGCAGTGTGCTGTGCTGCAGTGTGCTGTGCTGCAGTGTGCCGTGCTGCAGTGAGCAGTGCTGCAGTGTGCAATGCTGCACCGTGGTGCCCGGCTGAGCCTGCCCGGTTCCGCCGCGCCGCCGGGCACTGCCGCATCAATAAAGGGCCGTGCGAGCACGGCCGCATGGAGCAGAGCGCCCCGCGTGCCTGGTCCCTGTGGCGAGGACGGGAAGCGGCCGCGGCGCCGGGCGGGAGGAGCAGCGCATGGAGCAGCGGGGAGCTGCGCTCGGCTGGAGCGGCACCCAGCGCATGGCCGCATGGCGCCCGCGGAACGGCCGGGATCCCTCCGGGGACCGCACGGGAACAGGATCGTCCGGGGCCATTGACGGGTGGTGCTTTCCCGCGCTGAGCTGGAAATCGGGCATTTCACCCTGGAAATGGGGCGTTTCACCCTGGAAATGGGGTATTTTAGTCTAGAAATGGAATATTTCAGGCTGGAAACAGAACATTCCAGCCTGGAAACGGGGCATTCCAGCCTGAAAATGGGGCATTTCTGCCAGGAAATGGGGTATTTTAGTCTAGAAATGGAATATTTCAGGCTGGAAATGGGACATTCCAACCTGGAAACGGGACGTTCCAGCCTGGAAATGGAGTATTTCAGCCTGGAAATGGGGTGTTTTAGTCTAGAAATGGAATATTTCAGGCTGGAAACGGGACATTCCAACCTGGAAACAGGACATTCCAGCCTGGAAACGGGGTATTTCTGACAGGAAAGGAGCTATTTTAGTATAGAAATGGAATATTTCAGGCTGGAAATGGGACATTCCAACCTGGAAACGGGACATTTCAGCCTGGAAATGGTTTTTTAGGCTGGAAAGGGGGTGTTTTAGTCTAGAAACTGAGTATTTCAGGCTGGAAAGAGGGCATTTCAGGCTGGAAAGAGGGCATTTCAGGCTGGAAATGGGGTTTTAAGGCTAGGAAGTGGGTATTTTGAAACTGAATATTTCCATCTGGAAATAGGGCAATTCAGCCTGGAAACGCAGTACTTTAGGCTAGGAAGTGGGTATTTTAGCCTAGAAACAGAATATTTCAGGCTGGAAATGGAATATTTCAGCCTGGAAATGGGGCATTTCAGGCTTAAAATGGGATATTTCAGCATGGAAATGGGGTACTTTAGCCTGGCAACAGGGTATTTGGGGCTGGAAATGGAGCRTTTGAGGCTGGAAACRGGGCATTATGGGCTGGAAATRGGGTGTTTTAGCCCAGAAATGGGGCATTTATGGGTGGAAATTAAGTATTTSAGGCTGGAAACGGGGCATTTCGGGCTAGGAACTGGTTATTTCGAGGTGGAAACGGGGCAGTTCCGGGTGGAAACAGGACATTTCCGCCTGGAGATTGGGAGTTTCCGGGTGTAAACAGGATATTTCCGCCTGGAAATGGGATGTTTCCACTTGGAAACGGGGCGTTTCCCGGTGTAAACAGGATGTTTCCGCCTGGAAACGGGGCGTTTCCGGGTGCAATCAAACGCTCCCGGCCCAGGCCCGACGGCCGCCCCGCCCCCGTAGGCACCGCCCGGAAGCGGAAGTAGCGCCGGGCTCCCGCCAAAGCCCGCAGCGCGCTAGGGCAGCCGCTATCGCGAGACCTGCCGCTCTCCGCCGCGGTCGRGCGGCGAGATCTCGCGAGCGTTCCCGTTGGGCGCGCGCCCCGGCGGCGAGGTCTCGCGAGAGCCGCGCGGCGCCAGCCGACGGGGTGGACAAGATGGCGGCCACGACGACCATCTCGCTGGTGAGTGGCGGCGGCCGCGGCCCGGCCGGGGCCCGGGGGCGCCCGGGGCGCCGCGCGGGGGGAGCCGGCGCTGCGGGAGCGGCTTCGGCCCCGCCGAGCGCCGGGCTCGGCCCCGCCGCGCAGCAGGCTCTCGGGGCCCGCTGCGAGGGGCTGGCTGTCGCGTTCGCGCCGTCTGAGGACGCCCTCACGTTATCAACAACCTTGAGCGATCAAGCAGTTACTTGTGTTTGCAGCAGGCTCTGGAGCGCCCCTTTGAAGGGGCCGGTAATTCGGAAGGCAGGGGAATGTTTTTATTTTGGATACCCCCCCCCCTTTTTTTATTTCCCCTCTATGAACTACCCTTAAACAGAACAAACTGCTTCTGTGGCTTTCATTGCGATGCCTCCAGGTCCGCCTTGGACATTATTCTTTTGTGTGTTTGTTTGGATCAATTATGGAATCCTGCAAAATGGAGGTGCAGAACCCCTGGGGGGCCACGTCCGCAGGGAAGCGAGCCCGTGACACCCCTGAGGGCGCAGGGGTGGGTACGRGGAAGCTGCAAGGTCATTTTTTCATAGAAAACATTGATATTTTTTTCCTCATGAGGAGAACTAATCCTCAAGCTGCTGTGTTTTCCTTTGAGCGTTTTAAACTTTGCCTTTAAGCAGAGTTTACTTTACATTCACAGTCACAATCATTCACAGTATTGTTCTCTTAGTTTCACAAACATCAGGGCACAGAATCCAGAGGGAACGTGGATAACCCYGGCTTTGATTCCCTTCTCACCCCTGTGTGTCCCACTGGATTTGCCTGCTTCGTACTGAGAATGAATGTGTGCGGATGAAAACGTTTGAGTCTCGGAAGCGTTGTGGTGATTCCAAAGACAGCTGAAGCCGGGAGAATCCCTGCTGCCTAGGGAGCATGGATGCGATGCCACTGTATTTTACTATTTATTTTTAATATATACCATATAAAAAACAACACTCTATGCGTTTCAATCCCAGCTCGATTGGCTGCCTTTCTAACAAACACTGCATTGTTTCCCTGCATGGAGATGATGTAGTCTGAGAAAAGGTTGTCAGAGTTGCAAGCGAGCTTACAATAGCTTAACTGATAAGATATCTTATAAGGAGAAAAATAAAGACCTTGATTCATAAATTTTACTGTGCATGTGTGGGTATGTATAATCTGCTATAAACAGATATGATCAACACTGTAAAAGAAGCTTTAATTATATTACTTTTTTTGCAAATCTGACGTTTGAAGTTAATATTCTTACAGGCTGAACATAGTACAGTAGTGCTGAGGAGGTTTTTATTTATTTATTTATTTTATGTAGCCAGCTTCCAATCTCCATATATTCAAGCTTCACCCCCTTAGCTTGGTATATGAGCGTGAAGTGATAATCCCCCTTCCGAGAGGTGTAGCTGTGTCCTGGGTCCAGCGCCGCGGTGTCCACGCGTGGGTCCTGCTGCCACGGCTCTTCCTGGCGCTTGGAGCAGGGCACAGACCATCCTCGGGCATCCTCGGGGTCACGCGGGCTCTGTGGACGTGGACGTGGTGTCGGRGATGCCGCTCCGGATGGGTGGGTGGTCTCAGCAGGAGCTGGTGCTGGAGGGAGAAGCAGAAGTCCTGGGATGACTGGAGAGCGAGGAACCGGCGGCACCACTGGAGTGTGAATACCTGAGGGGGAATGCAGGGAGGAAGGGCCAAGCTCTTCCCGGTGGTGGCCGGTGCCGGGACAAGGGGCCATGGGGMCAAGTTGAACCCCGGCAGCTCCRTGTGCCCATGAGGAAGAAGAAGGTGAGTGTGAGGGTGGCCGAGCCCTGGGTGAGGCTGCCCGGGGAGGCTGCGGAGGCTCCTGCTCTGGAGAGCTCCCAACGCGCCGGGATGCGCCCGGGTGCTSYGGGTGTCCCTGCWGGAGCWGGGGCTGCMCTGGGGGATCCCTGGGGATCCCTGCCAACCTCRACCATCCTGGGCTTCTGTGAATATGTCGCTCAGCTCGGTGGCACAGGCTGCCTCTGTGGGCACGTGGGTCGTTGCTGGCACGTTTGGGAACAGGCAGTAGCCGTCGTGACCAGAGATGATTCCGGAGGTAGAAGCAGCGTCTTGAATGCACTGGGAATGTGAGGCTCCATGGGGCTGGTCTGTGTCCCCTTCTCCCAGGTCTGGGGTTCACTGGTATCTCAGTGTTGCAAGGGTATATTGTGATAAACGGTTCKGCAGTTTTTATTTCTTTTATTAAGTTCTACATGCTTTTATTTTAAAMTTCAGTGTATGTTAAGTATCCTGCATAGTGCGTTTGTTCTTGCCATTGTGGTACTTCTGTCAGTGAGTTAAAAATGCACCCCAGGCCCCCTTAAGTGGAATTTTTCATCATCTCTGTGTTAGTTTTGAGCGTTGCCTTCTGCTCAAGCAAATCTCCCTGGAAATGGGCAGGAGACACCTTGAACATCCCGTAACAAGTTGGTTCATCGGTGGCCTCATGGCTCTGTTGTACCTTGCTGTGCTAAAAAGCAGAAATGTGTCCCCAGCTTTAAAGTTCTTAAAATGCAGATGCAATTGAAAGACCCCAGCAAATGGGTTGAGCTGGAAGGAGCATCCCAGGGTCCATCCCGTTTCCATGTTGGGAAGAGAACTGGCTGCCTTGTGATACAACCAAGAAGTGGGCCTGAGAACAGTCCAAAACTTCCAGGCTGTGAGGACAGTGTCAGCCCGTGTTTGCAGAGGGGCAGGCTAAAGCACGAAGGCTRGATGCAAGTAGTTTCAGAAATGAAGTCTTCTCACTTGAGAGGAGCACAGTCCTGGAATTTAATAAGCTTATATCTTGCTTTTGGCTGACTTTCTGAAAGTAAATTTCAGGTATGTCCTGCTATTGTCCTGGAAACAGTCAAATAGGAAAAAAATGAAACGAGGAGATGTTGCAGGGACCCTGAGGTGCTCCTGTGCAGATCTACCTTCTGTTGAGCCCGTACATTGMATGTATCTGTACAAGTCGTTCAGTTTGATTAGATGACAGGATGGGAATCATCACTTCTGTAACTAGCTTACGCTTTCAGTCYTGCTGCTGAGAAGAACAGCCATTCTTATGTGAATGTCAGATAGAGGCAGRCATTGTATTCTATACTGAAGTAGTTTTGCAGCGTTAAAAAGTAAAAAGATAAAAAGGTTAAGAAGTTCCAAATGATAGTGATAACAAAACAAAATACAGCAAGGGAAACTTTTAATTCAGAATGTTACCGATGTGGCCTCCTCCACCGCTCTCCCCGCTTTCCCTCTTCCCTGCCCAGCTCGCTTTCTGCAGCAGCTGCTTGTCTGCTGTCCGTAAAGGGTTYTGCAGGATGCTGTCCATAAAGGGTTCTGGATAAAGGATTCTGCTGCCCGTAAAGGGTTGTTGTTGAGCCTGCTGCTCGCCCGCCCTCACAGGCAGCTCTGCAGCACGGCAGCCTCTCTTCCTGCTGCTGGTAGAGCCCTAACAAATCTCTCTCCTCCCGGGATGTGCTCTGTGTGTAGGACCTCCGGCAGGCAGCTTAAGCAGGATGTAGTTCCTGGTGCCTCCTGTTGCCTCTCGCTCCCCTTCTGGCTGCCAGAAAACCTGGACGGCTTCAGTTGTGTCTGAGGCAACAACCAGCCTTGGTCCATTTTAAAAGAAAGAAAGGGGTAACAGAAAAACTCCTGGGTTATCTCATGGTCCTGGCTCTCTCCTGAAACCAGCAGCTACCGCTTGGGGAGGGACACACTGAAAACCTCCTGAAACTCTGTGTTGGTGTACGGATTTCCCCAGTATCCCAGTAATCATTACACATAACTGTGAAAGCTGGACGTGTAGAGCAGGAGCCAAGAATCTGGAGGGGCTTTGTGGCCCCTGCGTCCCTCCCATGTGCCCTCCATCCCCCTGTGCGTCCCATAGCTGCATCAGAGAGATGCTGTGGGTCAGAAGTGGCACTTGTCACTGTGGTCATGCAAAAAGCCTGAAGTTTGTCCTTAGGGGGCAAGTCAGATTGGCTGATCCTGAGTAGGAGGGGGGTGTTTTTTATAGGGTTATTTCTTTATTCTTGGCTATTGCACACAGGGGTGTGGGCACGCCTGCTCCATCAGGACGGTCGTGTTGTCAATGCGAGGGCGAGTTGTTTCTGAAGAGCGAAGGAAGCACTGGCCCTCATCCCCCGTGCAGTTAAGGAAGGCACTGCCAGCTGGTGTTCCTGGCACAGGCTTCATCTCCCCCAAAAGTGAGTGTTTTGTCTGGTTCTTACCAGCAACTGCTGCAATGGTATTATTGTACTTGAGAGCAAACTTCATGAGCATTTAATTTGGCAAGTAAGGGGAAGCTTTAGGGTGAAGGTCRAACACGTGTAGGAATAGATCTAACCCGGAGCAAATCTGTTGCCCTTGCTCATGGGGTCGTGACGGAAGGACCGCTGAGACGTTCAAGGCCAGTGTGAGACAACACGGGAGTATTTTTAGCCGAGGTGAAGTAGGGATGAGTAGGAAGGCTTGCAGCCACCGTGAGGGCCTGGGGCCCAGTCTTGGCCCTGGAGAAACCGAAGAGCCGGCGGACGTGCTCACCAGTGCGACCCCAGCTCGCTGCCGGTCGTTTCGCTGCAGCTGCTTTGCCAGGCATTGGAAATAATAACCGTGTGGTAACAGCTGCTCCTATTTCGCCTCTGCAAAAGCCTCTAAGTGATTGCAAGTTACATTATTAAGGCCTTGTGGATGCGTGTTCTCTGTGAGAGGATCATGTGCTGTGATGTGAAGCCTTATTAACGCGTGGCTTGCAGGTTTCTTTTATCATTACAGTGTAATACCACTGTCCTGAAGGCAGTGGAAGATGAGATGGGAAGCTGGGGCCCAGAGGGAGAGCAGCAGGAGGAGGAGGAGGAGAGCCCAGCACCTTTCTTCCTCCGYGGGATGGAGGCAGGAGGGTGTCCTGCAGACACCTCCCCAAAGTAACCTGCTCCTGCAGGCAGTCTGAAGTCTCGCTGGCCGGAGCAGAAAAGCAGGAATTACTGTTTCACTCTTGT